ATGGATCAAGGCAGAAAGAAGAAAATAGTCATTTTAGCACAGAACCTGCTTTTATACCATGAAGAATTTAGAGAGGAAAATTTATTGTTCTCCTTGAATTTACTTTTCAGAATTACAACCTAATAAATATGCATCACGGCTGGAAAACAGTCCACAAACTGATTGACTAAATCCTTTAATAATAGGGAGAATGTCGTGCTGTTAAATCTCTTAAAACATTGAGAATAAAATTTAATTTTAAGAAATGAAAATAAAATAACTAAGAAATATCTTTCTAAACTTTGGCATAAAACTAACCAATTTATATTCAGGGAATAACCAACCCTTTTCCCACAAGATCCTTTGTCTCAATTTCTCTAGGGCACTGGTCTATAGGAATCAAAAGGAATTTGTGACTCTTCAAAGATAAGGGGTGACATTTTTGAAGTTTTTTTTTTTTCTGAATCTCTCTCTTTTGGCTCTAACATGGTGTAAGTTGTCTCCATATTTTTGTAGCTATAGTCTATCATCTCTCGTAACCCATTGAAAATGTTGTGTGTAAATTCCAGAGTTTTACAACCCCAATTTTTTAATTTCATTTCGTCAATAAAATGTTTTTTATAAAAAGAAACAAACAAAACTCTTGATTACTCGTAATTGGTACAATTGAATGGATGTCTTTGTAGTATTTGATGCGTGTGTTTATTATTATTTATGTGTGTTGGTTGCAGATATCACAGAATTTGTACGAGCCATACATTAAGGAAGTCTATCTTTTCAAAGGTTGCTCTCAGGGATTCATAAAACGAATTGTAAGTTCATTAATAATCTTTATCTCATAATGATGAACAATTTTTTTTTTCTTGGGGCTATTTTTTAGTTGTACACGTTGTCTCTAACTTTTTCTCAAGGCTATTTTGTTGTCTCCTAATCAAATTAGGAATCCACATCCTTCAATGAATGCACTATGAGTGATGAATATCGGAAGCATTACTTACTTTCTTTAATCTTCTAGTTAGCACCTTGGCAATAATCTTATAAATGGAAGAATTCATGCTAATTGGCTGAAAATCTTTGAGGAAAGTTATAGGCTCTTTCTTCTGTACTAAACAAATGAATTCTTGTTAAGGGTTGAATTCGAATGACCATGATGATGAATAGTAAGTTGTCTAAACTCGATGTCTTGTTATACCATGACCTTTTAAGTGCTGCCCAAATTTCAACAGTTGTCAGCTTCTATTTCTCTATAGGATAATAAAGACACACCCTCGGATGGGCATAATTCCAAAATCAAAATCTCTCTTCCTTGCTACCAAATATCTATGAAAAAATCTGGTATTTTCATCTTCTTTTAACCACTTCAATTTACATTTTTGTATCGTATTCCTTTCGTCCTTCAGATGAAGTTCAAAAAGTTCTCCCTTGGCATAAGAACCAGCAACAATATCTTGAGCTGAAAGAGGACCCAATTGTGGTTTATTGTCAAACAATGATATTATCGAGATCAAGGATGAATCTAATAAAACTAGTTTTGGTACTTCAGTAGGATATTGGTAGAAAAATAATGTTAGTCAGGTAATTCCGAAATAAAACTAGTTTTGGTACTTCAGTAGGATATTGGTAGAAAAATAATGTTAGTCAGGTAATTCCGAGTTGATTTTAATGCAATTACTTCAGTAGGATATTGGTAGAAAAATAATGTTAGTCAGGTAATTCCGAGTTGATTTTAATGCAATCAAGTTAATTTTAGGGTTTTAATTGATACAATTATTAATTTAGGATTTTTATTGATACAATGTGCGAAGTTTAAAGGTATAAGTTGATTTTTTTCTCCTGAAAAAAGATAGATTCTTCACATAATTAACAGGAAATCTCGTTCACTTTTTACCGTACAAAAATGTTTTCCAACTCATTCGGGAAGATTCTTCCTATTCTTGATAGCTTGGAGGCCATTAATGGTCAACACACCCATATACTATACGGTGTAAACTGAACAAAGCTTGACGTGTGTATGAACTTTAGGGTTTTTTGTTTTCCCTTCCCCCACTAGTCCTGGTGAAGGCTTTCTTAAAAGACAAGAGTCATTTCCTATCATCGATTTCCATAGCTCTAAATTTCTAGTATGTTGGCAACCTTGATATTTTACTCGAATTTCAATCTCTACCCAAGTATGCAATTAATCTGACATCTTAGCCGTTTAAACAAAAAAAGAACGACCAATAGAACCTTTCTATGAATTAAGAAGTTGTAGTCATTCCTAAGGAAAGAAAGCTCATGCCTATTTCATGGTTAATTTATTATTTTCATTCTTCTCCTGTACCAGGCAACCAAAGTTCGTGAAGAGGCTTTTTTCCCTGGACAAATGATTATTGAACGTGAAAACTTAGTTGACCAACTCTATGTTGTATGTCATGGTGAATTGGTACGAATTCCAGTCTTTCAGTTTCAATCTCTTTGTGCATTTTTTAATTAGTGCCTAATCTTCCAAGAGCTTTCACAGTTATTTATTTAAACAAAAATAGCTTTTTATATTGCTTTATAACTTCTAGGTGGTAATTTGTTGGTCACTAGTCACTTGAGCTCTTATTTAGTGGCGTTTATTTATGTCAGGAGAATATTTCAGCGAAGTATTTATCCTTTGTTAAATAGCCTACAATTTCTATCAACTTAAAATTTATAAATATATCTTTTATCATGCTCTTGTTGCTGAAAACACATGCTTGTTAACTTCGGTTGCTAGATCTATGCCAACAATGCAATCATAAAGTACCATTGTATAGAAAAAAAATGCTCAAATAGATGTGAGATAAAAAATCCTTGTATTGCCTAACATTTGTTGCATGCAAAAGTAGAGATTTCATTAGTTGAATATTAGTATATTTGCATGTCATGATTGCTTCTTTTGTGAAACAACCTATCTTTCGTACAAATTAATTGGAATCAATCTAGGAAAGGCTCTATTTCCAAAGACTGTCTGATTTATGTTTGTTCTCGTATATCTATTTATTGTTTTAGACTTATTCACAGGAGGAAGTTGAAAACTGGGATACTGAAGATGAAGAGTTAATTAGGGGTCTTGGAACATATAGCTCATTTGGTGAAATTTCTTTCCTTTGCAATTCTCCTCATCCCTACCATGTTCGGGTTCGTGAGTTTTCCAAGATCTTGCAACTCGATAAACTGTCATTTAAAGAAACCTTGGAATTACACTTTTTAGATGGACAGATCATCTTAGACAATGCCCTTGAGGTTGGTAAACTTGCCTTTTTGGTATTTGTCACTCTTCTACTCATTTTATATCCACTATTTTGGTTACAAAAGCTGAAACACAATTTTATCATGTATGAAAAATGTGGTTGCAATTGAAATTAGATTTCCTCTTAAAAGAAAAGAAACTAGTATATTTTTTACAGTGAAAGTAGATGTGACATATAATTAGATTTCCTCTTAAAAGAAAAGAAACTAGTATATTTTTTACAGTGAAAGTAGATGTGACATATAATTTAGATCCATATTTACAATTACGTTTATCAAGAATTTATTTATTAAAATTTTGGCAGGACATATAATTTAGATCCATATTTACAATTACGTTTATCAAGAATTTATTTATTAAAATTTTGGCAGGTCATATACAACATGTTTTACAATATCTAATATAACCAATACTTTTGTAGGTATCAAAATTCTTTTCGACAATGTAATATATTAATTATCTATTTAGCTTAATGGTTAATAATTAAGTAACGTATTTTTTAAATGATACAAATTTTAAAAAAATAGAAATGAAATAAAATTAAATAATTTCTCAATCCAACTCACATCTTACTAAGCCAACAATGAAGCTTCCTACTAAAAGAAATTAGAAAAATAATAATAATAAAAGAGGAATTGAAAGCCTAGCTCACATCCTCAACCCACTTGAATCATTTTTTCCCTTAATCACCCAACTCTCGTTCCTATCTTTAAGATGCCTTTTTTTCCCCCTTTTTTGGCAATGGTGCTAACCTTTCCCCTTTTGTGTCCACCTGCAGTGTTTCTCCCTCCCTCTTTAACTCCTATTACCCAAATGCCTCACTCCTGTTGAGGTCACTTTCTTCGTTTGTCTCTTGTTGTGTGGCCAAGGTTCTTCTTTGATGCTATTCATTAGAGTTATGTCCTTGTTGCCTACACTTAAAACATTTCCCAAGAGATGACTGGTTATAAGGGTTAGAAATTTTCCTAGGATTTGTACCTTACAAATCTTTGTTTGAGGTGTTTTTCTTGCTTGCATGCTCATCCATTTTGCCCTGTTGGTTGAATGTGGAAGAGCTTACTTGATGGAATGTTTTGTGGGCTTGATTGTACTTCTCCATGAGCTTGTTGTTGCTTATCCCAATTATTCCTTCTTTGATATGTTCTGATGGGCTTCACTTTATCTTGTTCCTCAATTTTAGTGGCCAATGCAATCGAATCTGCAAGTTAGGAAAGGGGATGTAGACATACAACTTCTTTGATGTCATCTTGCAGACCATTAAAAATCTTGAGATTTTTTGTTCTTTTGTTTCCAATAAGGTATAATCAATTATAGAACGTCCTTATTGCTTGCATTGTGGATATTTGTTGTTCTAGGATTTGACGGTAATTGATAGGGAGAAACCACTTCTTCATCAAACAGAGCATCTTAGGCCATTGCTTGATTGTTGTTTTTATAGCACCATCTATTGTTTTGCAATTGATCCCACCATGTCGAGGCCCCACCTTGAGATTGAAGGCTACCAATTTAACATTCTTGTTGTTGAATGTGTTGGCATATTTGAAGAAACCCTCCATGTTTTTTACCCAATTTAGGAACATCGTTTTGTTTCCTTCTTGGTAATCTTTCCTTACGATCTTGGTATTCAAAGTTGTAGTTTCTGTCCTCCCCTGATTATTCAAATTCTTCAATGTTAAAACTTCAAAAGTGGGGAGGCTTCCACTTCGATAGAGGCCATATTGTACTCGAGCAGATCCAAGAAATGGCTCTTGGCATTCGCTCTAATACCACTTGATGTATTAAGTTCAGCAATTTTATTAAGAATGGAATAAGTTGTCTCAAAGTACAAGCATAGACAAATATATACATTAGAGGAAGTCCAACAAACTAACAAATCTCCAAACAAACTGAGGTCGTAAAGACAACTTCAAGAACTGATTAAATAGCCTGGTTCGTTTAAAATAAATAAAACATAGAGAAAGGGAGGTATATCCCTACATCATGATTACTCTCTTGTTACCCAAGGATTTGGTTCATCCTTTATCGCTTTACTCGTCTGTTGTCAGCCCAATGTTCAAGGATTTCAACAACTCACAAATATTTTTAATGCGTGATTTAGTCTAAAAGACTTTAGTGATATTAAGTATTTCCTCAATCTTGAACTTGCAAGGCCTTCTCGGGATCTTTGTATTTGATAACGGCATTACACTTTGGAACATTTAGAAAAATCTAGTCTCCTTGGATATAAGCCAATCCCTGCTCCTCTTGATCAAACTTTAAAGTTACATGCTTCAGGATCTAACTGCTAAGTGATCTTATGGTGTATTGAAGGTTAGTTACGTTGGTCGTCCTTTATATCTCAGCCTCTCATGACATGATAGTACCTGTGTTGTCAACAAATTGAATCAATTCGTGGCAAACCCTTGCCAATCTCGTCTTGAAGCTGCACATTAATTACTACAGTACTTTAAATGTGCACCTAGACAAGACCTCTACTTTCTAGCTTCTTTAAAATTTCAATTAAATTTTTTACAATAACGATTGGGCTTCTTTCTTAGATATTCAGAAATATTCTACAGTTTTCTACTTTTTTTGGGAGATGCTCTGGTCATGGAAATCCAGGAAGCAATCCACCGATTTACAAGTTAGTTTTGTTCCTCCTCTTTTGTTTGGTGATAACCAGGCTGCAGTATACAGAAACAATTTCAACTTTCCATGAGAGAACCAAACACATAGAATTGGATAGCCACTTCATCCGTGACAAAGTAGTTCTCGTTTTATAAAGTCAGCCCATTCGATCAGCCTAGCAGACATCTTCACAAAAGCTCTTCTAACACCCAATATATTTTCTATACTTTTCGAGATAGAAATTCTTGATTTTTAAGCCAGCTTGAGGGGGTAGTGTTGGGTTTTAACTAACTTGGTTATTTCTTTCGATAGAGGAATAAGACAATGAAGCATGTTCTCTTCCTTAAACTTCTATATTCCCATTCTCTTTATCATCCTTATTTGATCATTACTCTTTCAATGATGTTGGTTTTAATTGGAATGCTTAAGCAGTTTTATTTAGCCTAATTCAAATCTTTCCATTGGAGTTCTTTATTATCCTTTTTTGATCATTACGTTTCCAGTGATGTTTGGTTTAATCTCAAATGAAATCTTTGCATTAGAGTTCTATATCATCCGTACTTGATCACTGTTCTTTCAATGATCTTTGTTTTGATTGGGATGCTTTTATATCCCCTCGTTAGATTCAGCATTTTAATTTTTGCTTTTCTTTCCTTCCCTTTTGGGAGATCGTAACTTGGTACATTTTCTGTTTCTTTTCCTTACTTCTTTTAAAGGTTCCATACCTTGTTCTAAAAATTTAATTATTATTAAAATAATATTTATTCAAAGGAGGTTACTAATGTTCATGCTTGGTTGAATCAAAGTCCAGCTTGGTCAGTAATTTTTCCCATCTATTTTTGGAATTTAAAAGTTTTAGTTGTTTAAGCTATTAAACTTCTAATTCTATGCCACAATTATAATCTCTTCTTTGCATAGGGAAAGGATTCCAACCAACAAGATCAAATTTTGGAATCTGACATAATTCTTTACATTCAAAAGCGTGAACTTGAGTTAGCCATTAAGGTCAACTGTGCTGCTCATGATGGGGATCTAAATCAACTCAAACGGTTGATTAAAGCAGGAGCAGATCCCAATAAAACAGATTATGATGGAAGATCGCCTCTGGTATGGTTTCTTCTAGCCGAGTTATCTCTATCTTCTTTTATTACGTTCTAATTAATATGGTTGAGAATAAAATTTTTTAGAGTAGAATTTATGTAGTACTACCATTATATATATTTTCCTTATTTGAATCTCTGCATGATTATATATCTTGCTTGACAATAATTTTTTGCGAACTAGCCATAGGCATTTTTGTTTGTTTGCTTTTGCTAGATTTTTCTTATCAGCAACTAATCAGGGATATATAATTACTTTTAACTCATCTCCATCATGGTATCATTGAGATCATCCTTGGAATCCCAGCTTGTTTTGTCTGTTCATGTGACTCTTCTGAGTTGTCTCTACAAAATATGCTGCAATATCTTATCAGAAGTCATCAAGTTTTAGCATATACGAATGGAAAAACTCCATAGTCAAGATTGTTAGCGACTTGTTTCATTTTAGTTGTAAGCAAATTTGAAAAAGAAAAGTTCTTAAAAACACTTGGACAACCTTGAAAAGGTTCGAGGCCCATTTGTCGATGGAAGAATGAGAATGGTGTCGTCCACCAAAAAAGGGATGGTGAATGTTTAATAAGCCACTTGCCAATTTAAAACCATCGATGAAATTTTTGCTTGTGGTCAGTTTTAGAGGGCCGCCAAATAAACTGATTTGACTGACTTGTAGTCGATGAAATTTTTGCTTGTGGTCAGTTTTAGAGGGCCGCCAAATAAACTCATTTGGCTGACTTGTAGGAATAGTGGAGCCAAATTGATATCTCAAATTGAAGTAACGCTCCTAATTTTCTTAATTTTCTTAACCTAATTAGTGACGTCATCTATGCATGTACAAGTCATAATGTGAAAATTCATATTAAATAACCTTGAAATAAAGTTAGGGTCTTACAAATACAAAATTTAACCTAACAGAAAAACATTTAACAACTAAGACTAGAAATTTAAATGCAAACGTTCATTTCTAAAATAAAACTCAAACAAACATCTGCTACCCTATTATGCCCACATTTCATCTTCCATGGTCTTTACATCATCCACCGTCATCCGTGCATGGGAGCCTTGCCTTTACCTGAAAAATTATGGTAGCACGTGGCTTGAGTATTTTTTAAAATACTCAGTAATTCACCCCATTATTGAGGTTAGATATGCAATACACATGCAAACATGAGTGGGACCTATCTTTCTTAAACTTTACATAGCCTTAGACTCTTTTCAAATCCAGGCAGGGTTGGATGTATGGTACTTCCCCATACATGGACCATGTATGCGCACATGGGCCCACTAGCAAGCTCGTATACGTACCCCTGGGACTGGCTTGGTCGGGCACAACGTATTACATGTCACTGGACACCATATAAAAGAAAAAGCTCGCATGATATCATGGAAAACATAAATATCGAATGTTCGAGCCCATACTATCATAACATAAAGGGGAAGTATCTCGATGCGTATGACGTACAAACATGCATGAGGTCCCATGAATTACGTTACATGACAAAATACTTAATACCTTTCATTTCCTTTATACATTTAATATCATAACTCATTTATGCAACATATATGCATGGCTACATTTCGCAATCCATTACATGTAAGACTTACATATCATTCATAGCATTTCAATTCATTTCATGGTAGCAGTATAATGGATTACATGCATATGTTGTAAACATTTCATAACAATTCAAGAATACATAAACATTGCATAACATAGAGGTTTCACATACAATATGGTGCATGCAAGGGCCACAGGGCATGCACCATCATACATCATACATTAAGTTAGAAGTCACACTCCTATTAAGATAGGAATTGGAAGTGAGATGAAAGGTATGATCCATGAATATTGATACGTATATTCCATAAAAAAAAGTATATTTAATTCCTAATTTATTTTTCTGATTCACCAGCTCTTATCTCTTTTCAAAAGGATCAGTTAATAAAAAATTTGAATATCCAAAACAGAAATCGAATTTTCTTTTTCTAGTCTTAATTATTCTTAATTTTTTGCCAAATACTTAAAATATTTCAAGTCAGGAAGTTAGAATTATTCAAATAAGATGATCCACTGAAACTATTAATGAACACACCTATTTATTTTAAGTCAATTTTTTTTGACAATATAGAAACTGCAAATTTTCTTTATTATTATTATTTAGTATGCATTACAAAAATTTCCCGCTATACATCATACATTAAGTTAACACCAACCGTAAGATCACTTGCCTGGTTGGCCTTGACCGAAGTTACTCACGATAAGATAATCGCCTCAATACTACAACTCCAACGCCTAACTATTTGTTATAAGATTCCACATAACATGCTTAGGGTCTATTCACAACTATTCAGGCTAAACATCATGTTTAATTACCAAAGTAAGCCCCTAAACTATTCTGATTTGATAAATAAGAGTCATACTGACCTCAAATGGCTTAAACAATGTCAAAAATGGCTTTAGAACAATTGAAAACATTAGGATCGGTATATTATACATATACCAAGCCGCCAAGCCAAGACTCCAAGCCAACAAGCCAAGCCGAGCCGCGGAAAAGATGGAGCCGAGCCGACGAAGCTGAGGATGCTGAACCGATGTTACGTACGCGTGCGGGTCGAGTCACATTTGCGCGCGCACATGCGAGTTGAAGGCGCCCGTTTCTTTTGGGCGCGGATCGTGTACCCGCTGGACTTGGACTGAAACAGAAGTCGTGAGTTGGACAGTGGGTTGTTTTACGCTGAGCTATTCGGTTGGTCTGAGACAGATTGGATTTGGGCCGTGAGCTTTTTGGGCAAATTGGTGAGGGTCGAGACGAATCTGGGTTGATGTGGACCCAGATTTGAATGTATCTTCTTCCTCACCCAAAAGCAGCGCAACCCTAGTTTGTTTACCCCTTTTTGATTTCAACGAGACACGCAACGATTTTGATGTCGATTCTTTTCGCTTCTGTTGCAATTCTTCCTCTAGAGACTTCTGCAGCAACTCCATACAATATTACGACTCGAAACCCCCAAATATCAACACTGATTTCATGGATCTTTGCAAAGCAAACTCACTCGATTTTCCTTTCAAAATACTCTCGGGTTTTCTCTCTCAGACGCGGTTGTTACATTCAAAGGAAAATCAATTGTATAGATGCTGAAGAGTTTGAGAAAAAAGAGGTTTAAAGGGTCTATCAAGCGTTCCAAACATGGTAATAATTGTCTCGCTGGAAATTGCGCATTTTCTGGCTTGATTAAATGCTACACTTAATTATTATTATTTTATTTTTGGAATCTGAATCGTTTCCGAATGGAAATAGGAGAATATTGCCATGGATTTCATAGTAGGACTACCAAGAATGTTGAAGGGTTACACGGTCATATGTGTGATGGACAGATTGACTAAGTCAGTGCATTTCCTTCCCAGTAAAGCCACTTACACAATGGACAATTGGGCCCAATTGTACATGAAGAAAATTATCAGATTGCATGAAGTTTCTGTGTCAATTGTATCAAACTGAGACCCATGTTTACTTCAGCGTTTTGGCGCGGACTCCAGAAAGCATTGAGTACTCGCCTGGATTTCATTACAATATTTCACCCATAGACAGACGAACAGATAGAACTTTTGAACGAAATTCTAGAAGATATGTTATGTGTTTGTGTATTTGACTTCGCTGGAAGTTGGGACTTGAAAAAATTGATCTCATGGAATTTGCCTATAATAATAGCTATCAGGCAATAATTGACCTAACACTGTATGAGGCGTTATATGAAAAACGGTGCAGGACATCATTGTGTTAGGATGAGGTAGGGGAATGTGAATTGGTGGGTCCCGAATTCGTCCAAGTCACAAATGAGGCAGTGCAAAAGATCAGAGAAAGAATGCGTACTGCTCAGAGCAGACATAAAGTTATGCAAACTCAAGATGAAGGAATCTAGAGTTTGAAGTGGGCGACATGGTGTTCTTGAAGGTGACCCCAATGAAAGGTGTCAGAGAAAGAATGTGTACTGCTCAGAGTAGACAGAAAAGTTATGCAGAGTCAAGACGAATGAATCTAGAGTTTGAAGTGGGCGACATGATGTTCTTGAAGGTGGCCTGAATGAAAGGTGTCCTAAGGTTTGGACGCAAAGGCAAATTGAGTCCACGCTTTATAGGACCTTTTGAAATTTTGGAGCGGATTGGACCCGTTGCGTATAGATTAGCCTTACCACTAACTCTCTCAGCCAACAAAACGTGTTTTATGTATCTGTACTTTGTAAGTATATGGCTAATCCCACACATGTGATGGATTATGAGGCTTTTGATGTAGCAGAGGACTTAAGCTATGAGGAAAAACCGTTGAGGATCTTGGCTCATAAAATTAAAACTCTACGCACCAGAGACATTGCATTTGTCAGAGTGGTGGAGAAACCAACTAGTAGAGGAGGCCATATGGGAACGAGAGGATGAGATGAGAGAGAAGTATCTAGAGTTGCTTCTGGGTACAAACACGTTCAAGGACGACCGTCTTTTTTAAGGGTAAGGGGGGATAATGTAACGATTCATATTCTAAAAATAAAATAATAATAATTAAGTACAACATTTAATCTCGCTGGAAAATGCACAATTTTTTATGAGACAATTATTACCATGTTTGAAACACCCCATAGACTCTTTAAACCTCACTTTTCTCGAACTCTTCAGCATCTACCCAATTGATTTTCCTCTGAATGTAACAACTGCATCTGAGAGAGAAAAACTGAGAGTATTTTGAAAGGGAAATCGAGTGAGTTTGCTTCACGAAGATTCGTGAAATCGGTGTTGATATATGGGGGTTTTGAGTTGTAAGAATGTATGGAGTTGCCGCATAAGTCTTCGGAGGAAGAACTGCGGCAGAAGCAAAGAGAATCGACATCGGAATTGTTGCATGTCTTGTTGGAATCAGAAAGGGGTAAACGAACTAGGGTTGCATTGCTTTCGGGTGAGGAAAAAGATACATTCAGGTCTGGGTCCACATTCACGTGAACCCAGATGTGTCTTGGTCCTCACCAATTTGCCTAGAATGCTCACGACCCAAATCTAATTTGTCTCGGACCAACCCAGCATCTTAGCGTAAAATGGCTCACTGTCTAGCTCACGACTTTTGTTTTGTCCCAAGTCCAGTGGATACACGATTCGCGCCCAGAAGAAACGCATGCCTTTGGCTCGCACATGCGCGCAGACGCGACTCGGCTCGCTCACGTACGTAACGTCGACTCGGCATTCTCGGCTTCATCGGCTCGACTCCATCCTTTCCTCGGCTTGACGGCTCAATATATATATAATATACCAATTCCTAGGTTTTCAACCCCTTTGACGCCATTTTTTTTACCTTTTTTAAGCCATTTGAGGTCAGTATGACTCTTATTAAACAAATCAGATTAGTTTAGGGGCCTACTTTGGTAATTAAACATGATGTTTAGCTTGAATAAACCCTAAGCATGTTATGTGGAATCTTATAGGGAATAGTTAGGTGTTGGAGTTGTAGTATCGAGGCAATTATCTTATCGTGAGTAACTTTGATCAAGGCCAACCAGGTAAGTGACCTTATTATTGGTGTTAGCTTAATGAATGATGGTGCATTCCCTGTGGCCCTTACATGCACCATATTGTATGTGAAATCTCTATGTCATGCAATGTTTATGTATTCTTGAATTGTTATAAATGTTTACCACGTATGCATGTAATCCATTACACTGTTACGCATGCCCTGTGACCCTTACATGCACCATATTGTATGTGAAATCTCTATGTTATGCAACGTTTATTTATTCTTGAATTGTTATGAAATGTTTACCACGTATGCATGTAATCCATTACACTGTTACACATGCCCTGTGGCCCTTACATATTGTATGTGAAATCTCTATGTTATGCAACGTTTATGTATCTTGAATTGTTATGAAATGTTTACCACGTATGCTTGTAATCTATTACACTGTTACGCATGCCCTGTGGCCCTTACATGCACCATATTGTATGTGAAATCTCTATGTTATGCAACATTTATGTATTCTTGAATTGTTATGAAATGTTTACCACGTCGGCATGTAATCCATTACACTGTTACGCATGCCCTGTGACCCTTACATGCACCATATTGTATGTGAAATCTCTAGGTTATGCAACATTTATGTATTCTTGAATTGTTAGGAAATGTTTACCACGTATGCATGTAATCCATTATACTGTTACCATGAAATGCTATGGATGATATGTACTCTTACATGTAATGGATTGAGAAATATTGCCATGTATAAATGAGTTATAGTATGAAATGTATAAAGGAAATGAACGGTATTAAATATTATGTCATGTAACGTAATTCATACAACCTCATGCATGTTTGTATGTTATTTGCATCGGGATACTTCCCCTTTATATTTTTCAGAGTTATGTTAAATTTCGTATTTTGAACTATTTCTGTAAGACCATGACTTTATTTCAAGGTTATTTAATATAAATATCAGCATTATGACTTATGCATGCATGGGTGACGTCACTAATTAGGTTAAGAAAGTTAGGAATTGATTAATTGTAAATTAAGATGAATTAAAACAAAAGGAAATAAAAGCAAGAAAAAAAAAATTCAATCCTACCGAAGTTTCCGATTCATGGTATAGTCTCATCCAATTGTAGTTTTGATCTTGGATTTACAAAAATAACCCAGTTCAATTGAAAAAAAAAAGTAACCAAACACTTTATCTACTTATTCGAAAAAAAAAGTCTTGACAAGTTTAATTCCCCTAATTCAATTGATTCTAACAAGCATCACAATCCCTTCTTAATCTTATTAACCCAGCACAATATCTTTCATTATTAACTCAATAACAACACTAACCAGGGAGGATACACAAACAAATTTGAATATGTGAGATGCTTACCCCTAATTAATTTTGTTTCTTTTATTCTAGAGTCTATCATGCAAGTAATATCGTTTTGAAAAAACCATAAAGCATACACAAGCCAACTATTATTGGTAGTGGCATTGAGACGCTATTAATGAAATTTTTTTTGCGCGCATGTTTTAAGCGTTGAGAGTGGTTTACTGCAACGCTGAGCATGGTGTAAGTAACATGATGAGCTTGTCCATCACCATGGCCTTTAGACTGAATGTCATTGCCACACCCCTTGTAGATTTATGCACCATCTGAAAAGAAAAAGAAAAGTAACATGGGTGAATAAAAATATATTTAGGAAGTAACCCCACTTAAAGGCTGAAACTATGCCCATAGTACTGAATACACATGCAAAGTCCTGACAATAAATATACACCAATGTGTCTGTATATAATGGCCTTAATTGAAAAATACGAAAACATTGTGTCTAAAGGACACTTTACCTATTCCTAAATGGTACAAACTGTGGTGCATGTGTGGGACGGGACAACCTGGTAAGAAGAAACAAACTAGAGGTTAGTTGGCAACAGTCTAGTCGTGTTGGGCCTATTCCAACCCAGAACTTCATAAAATCATTCTTGATCACCAACTATTATATTTATGGAGCCATTCATGTAAGACCATGCACCACTAAAGGTTAGTTGGCAACCGTCTTGCAGATTCTTCTAGCAACTGTACCTTATAAAAACATATATGGAAACATATATAACATGTAACGAAAGGTATTGTCTTACAAACTAGGATTTAGATACATTTATCTAAGGCTTTTAAACATGCTAGAACCCCTACTATCCGCTATTCGTTCATTGTGTAATCAGACCCCTCTCCACATCATATGCTTGGCAGCACCACTAAGCAAACCACATATTTAAAAAAACATACTATACCTTAAACAGATCATCACGCTAAATTACATACAATCAACCATGCATGCATTATAAAAATCCAAATGTTCTTACCCAAAGGTCCAAGTAACAGATCCAATCAAGCTACCCAAAATCACTCAAAAGGTTCCTCACCTTGAAAGAGTTTGAATCCTTGCTGGTCTCTCTTCAACTCACCACCAATGTTGTTCAAGTGTCCAAATGTTGTGCAGTTCCTATAATGAGACCCAAAAATTCGCAAGTTATGCTTAAAATACCAACAAACTCACATGAATCTAACAAAAACAAGAAAACTCACCTAAACTGGAACTTCCAACCAATCAACAGTGAAAAACTGTCAGAACGAGTAAGAAGCAAAAATGAGAGGACAATGGTGCAGGCGAAAATGCATCTGAGAGTGGATGATCCTTCGCTTGGCCTAAACCAGCCAAACACGAAAGAGATCGGGCAAGCAAGAGAGAGTTGAGCCAGGGAGTTGTGCTGCCAAGTTGGGAATGAAACTGAACCGACTCCTAGGATTATGTACGACTTAAATAAGCTTTTGTTTTCTTTTTTCGTTTTCTTTTCCATGAACACTATATTGGTCCCTCCTTATGAAGTTTCGTCTTTGAAAGTTCTCAATCCTTAAAAAAGCTCTCAATATTTGCCTCTCATTTTGTCCTCTCACTCCCAACTCGTTTCTTCGAACTGGTGGCTCTACCAAATGACTTTGACTAGGGCTATCAATCGGTTAAGTAGAACCTTCTGATCTCTTGCAAGAATCTGTATGGACCTTTTCACATGACTCAAACTCTCATCCGAGCAATGTGCTTCTTAATCAATTACATGCGATGAGTTTGCCATATACTTATGCAATATGGAAACATGGAATACATCATGGACTATAGCAAGAGGTAATGACAAAGCTAAATGATAACCCACAAGGCCGATCCATTCCAAGATATCAAGCAACCTAACAAATCATGAGCTTAGCTTCCACTTCTTTCCAAACCTCAACGCTCCTTTCATTGGAGCTACCTTTAGGAACACATGCCCACCAACTGCAAGATTCAAATCCCTTTGCCTTTTGTCTGTGTAACTCTTTTGCCTACCTGTGCAATTCACATCCTAGCTCTAATCCTTTGGATTGATTCATTCTTGAGGTCAAACTTAAGTTCCAACAACTTGGGTTCTCGTCCTAATAAATAGAGGACTTTCACCTTCTTCCATAAGGAGCTTCTAAAGGTGTCATACCCCAATCGTTGCTTGATAACTATTGTAGTAGTAAAACTCCATCATGTGCATACAAATATCCCAACTACCTACAAATTCAATGCACAAGCTCGTAACATGTCTTTGCAAGTCCAATTCAATCGCTCTCTCTAGCCATTGGTTTAGGGATGAAAGGTGGTGATAAAGTTCACCTGTGTACCCATCCCCTTCTATAGACTCCTCCAAGAATTGAACGTAAAGCGAGTATTTCTATTTAACACATTTGAAATTGGCACCCCATGTCGCCTAACCATCTCTTCCATATACAACTATGCCCACTTTGTACAGAGTAAGTAGGTCTTCTAGGAAGAAAATATGCTTACTTGGTGATTCGGTCAATAATGACCCAAATTCCTGGGAAGCCTTTTAACATTCCTAGGCAACTTTGTAATGAAGTTCATAGATATCTCTTCTCATCTACTGCAACACTAAGCTTGTTGATTTTTGTCTCGAAGTTTTTACTTGTTGACAAACCTGTCATTTATTGGCATGGTTTTCTATGTCCCTCCCTATTGACATGGTTTTCTAAGTCCATATGTAACAAACTTGCTCGGTAATTAGGATTAATGAGTGAGTTGTCTTCCTGCTCAAGCCATCTGCTACCACATTTGCCTTGACTTACATGATNCCCCCCCCCCCCCCCTTTATATGAAGTATGTTCCAAATTTTTTGTAATTTGAAAGAAGTAACGAATCTAACCCTTTTTAGCCGCACATCCATTTTAACTTCAAAATAAATACAAGGTTTTTTGTAAGGTAAAAGAAAATATTAAGGGCTGGTCCGTTCATTAAGCCCGATCTCCTTTCTTTGTTCATGACTATATATTTCACTGGTAGCCCCATGTCATTTTGTGTGGTGCATGCAGATAAGTTTAGGAACATGCCTTTACTTGAAGCCATTCAGAATGGACATGAGCAAGTAGCTTCTTTACTTGCCAAAGCTGGAGCAACCATTGTTGCTAATGATGCTGGTGGACTTCTTTGTTCTACTGTCGCAAGAAGGGGTTTGGGTTTTCTGAAAGGACTTCTGGCTAATGGCATTGATCCAAATGCTAGAAACTATGATCAACGGACTCCACTTCACATAGCTGTCTCAGAAGGTTTGTATCCTTTTGCAGAGGTACTTTTAAATGCTGGAGCCAGTGTTTTTGCAACGGACAGGTATGATATGATCTATTTACGTTGATTCTAAGCTATGACTGTGATTTAGCTACTACTATTCAGAGATGCCCTGACAAAGTTATTAGACAAGTATTTCTTTCATTGATGTCCACCTTCATAATCTTTGACAATGACACTTTCTCTTTGAGATCTTCTGGGAGTTAACTCACCTAAGAATACTTATTTCGATGATCACTTGGATTAAAATGGAATTATTCATCAAAGCTCACATATAATGCATTTGTTCATTTGCATTTTCATTTTTTATTTTGATTTTTCATCATCTTAGACTATGGGATAATGTGTAGATGGGGAAATACTCCGCTTGATGAAGCTCGTACCAGAGGAAATAAGAATTTGATCAGGCTACTTGAAGTTGCAAGAATTTTTCAGTTATCTGAAAACAACTCTGATATATCCGAAGAGATTCAAGGTACTAATTGATCATTTGTAAGTATAAAATGTATGCGTTAAAATCACTTAAATCTTTACTTATCCCAAGACAAATATTTTGGTGATAATGTTTTACCTTTTTTTGTTTGGTTGTTCATGCTCCTTTTATTTTATGCATTCAAATGCTCCTTTTATTTTATTATATTTTCACTTTGTACGACAATTGATCATTTTATCTTTCTCGTGGAAAACAAGAGCATACTTTGGTCAATTTGTTCTTGTTAAGAGAGACACTTTTCTTTTCCTTTAGCAAATAAACATTAAAAAACTTTATCATAAAATATTATCATGGACTTACATGTGAGAAAACATCTTTAAAATAAAACGTAACAAAATGCTAAATAAGACCAATAAAACATTAAAATAAAAATATCATATACTAACCTAAGGTCTAAAAAACAAAATACCACTATCCTATGTGATAAGTGTCAACCATGCTTGATTTTGTAAAGCTAGATGTATTTCTAGTATTCTTGCCAGCTTTCACAAATTAAAGCTAACTTTATTAATGATTCCAACCAAAAGCGGGTTAAAATGATGAATAACTCTTAGATCGAACTGGGAATATACGATAGTCACTCTTAGATCCCAAGATGACTCACTCCAGAATTAGCTTGATCATGACTAATCCAATGAATCGATTTTAACACAAGGTTTTTGTATTCCACGATGATTTCAAACACAAGGTTTTTGTATTTTAAGTAGGCCAAAAAGATAATCTAAACATAATATAAGTTCAACTATCAACTACAAACTACAAATAAAAGCTATTAAATACGAATCGAAAAAAATAAGACATAACATAAATAATCTTAAATGTCTATCAAAGACAAAAAAGTTATAAAATCCTTTTCCAATGTCAAGTGATATTTTATTGTTATTCAATTCTTTTCTTGATTTAATACTTGAATCTTTATTGCATTGCTTCTTGTAATTGCTTCTTTGAATACATGCAATTGATGAGTGGTTGGATTCATATCACTCTGCATAAGGCACTATCTTTACTTGTGATGTCGTCATCAACGATATAGAGGGGTCTTGCCTTTACTACCTAAAATAGAAGTAGACTTAGTATTTTAAGAAATACTCATTAGTGACTCCACGGTTGGACTTTAAGAAATACTCATTAGTGACTCCACTATTGGGGTTTAAGAAATACTCAGTAACTTGGGGTCCGGAAAATGCAAACACATACAACTCATGATTAGGGGTCTATCATTAAAACCATCATCGGTGACCTCACTTATAATTGGGGATAGAGAAATGCAAACACACGTAACTCATGATTAGGGACCTATCATTAAAACTATCATAAAGGTGGCCTTCAATTCGAACAAAATTGGATGTGTAGTATTTTTCTACACACGACCCATACATGCGAGCGTGGGTCTCCAAGTGGTTCGCACCCACCTGGACCCATCATAGTCGAGCTAGTTGTTCGTAGCAATGTTCGGAGGTCAGCAGACCCCGAGTGTCATGCGAGGCATGATGATGATGATCATCATCATCATAGTATACACATTCATACTCATAATTATAAATGAAGTATCCTTATGTATATGAACACACAAAATGCATAAGGTCCCTATAGTTTTCATCTTTAAATTATCTTTATGTCACAACCCTATGCATCGGTCACACGTTACTCTAAGTAACATGCATGCATTTGTCATCATACATTCAGCCTCATTAACATTAACTAGGGTTCTATCTTTGAAAATTTTTCATCATAATGCATCGTGACATTTAATATATGCACATCATCTTAATATAGAACATCATCATATTAAGTCATTTCATCATCATACGTCTCACATCTTCTTGTTATCATGCATCATCATCATATAAACATCATGTACACATCATCACTTGATGTCATCACGTTATATATAACATCATCACATCATCATATAACATAAAACATAAATGACACGTGTAAGGACCATTGAGCACTTGTCGTTATACATAAGACAAGTTATCCAACCGAGTCAATAGTAAAATCATTTGGTTGGCCTTAGCCAAAGTTCTATCTAGCTCCAAATTTGCTTGCTTTCATCTTTCAAATTCGTTTACTCTATTTTTAACACTTCTTTCTTTTTTTTACCAATTTGAATAGATTCTTATTATTTTTATTTCTTGGTATTTAATTTTGTAACTAAACTTTAAATGATTGCAACGAAATTAAGAACAAAACAAGATAAAAGAAAAAGAGGATCTAACTAACCTATTGCGACAAACTCTTCCATGTGAATTTGGAGGCCATTTTTGTTTCTATTTGTTTTTACGGAAGGAAGGAATTACTGGTTGGAGTGAAGGGTATTTTAAGAAAGAAGTTGTGGGAGTTCAAAGGAATCTTCCAATAGTCTCTTCCACCTCTCAAAATAATGAGCAAATCAAAATTAGGGTTCTAACTCTCCAAATCTTCCCTCCAAAAACAATACAAATCTGTTAATTTATGTAGATACACTTAATTTGTGTATATGTGGTTTTATATACAAAACATTGTTCTCTCCTCGCAAACTCCAGTAATGGAACAACTCCCGGATTGGGTTGGGTTATATTTTTTTTTTATTTATGTTCGGTTAAATTTTTTAAAAATTAAAAATTCGGGTCAGTTCGTGGGTTATGAGGTTAAAAATTAGGTTATGAGGACATTTGTAAATGAGGTTAATGATGCAGGTTATGAGGTTTGATATTTGAACTTTATGAGATTTTTTTTATAACATTTGAATAAGATATCTAAAATATTCAAATATGTTACTCATCTCCCACCTTCTCTTATAGAGAATTCTTTTGCAACTCTCTTTCTTCGGTTCATTCGAGATTTTTAATAAAGGCTCCCACATGCCTTAGTCTTGTATTCAACTCATAACAAGAAAGATGTTGTGGCATTTGGAAGAACGTTAGCGTTGTTGGAATAGAGGTTTGCAAGCTGTGGTTTCTACCAAGTTAGAGTTATTACTCTTATATTTATTGTTTTATTTTATTTTTTTAATAAAATCAAAACAGTTTCCAATGCACGTGCGTGGACTGTGGGTAAAAAAGTACTACTCATTTAAAAATGCTTTGACTCCGACTAAAAAGTGGAATCCAAAAATTCTTTTTAAGAAAAGATAGCCCTGCCGTAATTGTATGTGATAACAATTTTTGACACCATCGTCGTGTATTAACAAAGTTTTTTGATACCAACAGTGGAGTATTAACAAAGTTTTTTGACACCAGGTTGGCTATTTATTTTTCCAAGTCATGGGTAAGACACTCATAAAAGATGATATCATTGTTGTGGATACCATGAAAATGAAGATAGGGAAGAGACATATTTTGCATTTTAGTTGTAGTCGTTAGAGATCATGGTGATTCCATTCTTCTAAAATTCTTGTTGTTTTATTGTTTCATAATTCTCGTAGTTTCAACCTCGTTATTTCACCCACATTTGTCACGACTCAATTTTCAAGGTTTTGAATCTATTCAAGCTAGTGTTATTTAAATTTATTAAAAATGGAAAATGGGTTCGAATTACCATTACAAATAAAATACAAAAAAATCAAAATGTAAAGATGGGACGACACCCTAGGATGATCCCCATTGTGACCATAGAGCTTTTCAACAATCCCTCACCTCGACGGGCAACCTACGAACTCCTAAAAAAAGGAGTAAGGTGTGAGTGTAAAAAGTACTCAAAGTACTCAGGCCTATTTCTAGGCTCTTATTGTACTCTTATCTTCGTAAGGTACCATAAACTTTTCTCTAGTCTCGAAGAAGTTCGGATATAGTTCTATAGATATCTAAGTTTCTCAAAAGGTCTTTATCTCATCTCAGGTGAACTTGCTTTTTGTTCTCCTACTTAGTAAGTTTGCATAGCCACAACAAGGAACATGTGGTATCCTAGGTTGAGGTCTCATAGGAAAGTATGACATCGGTCTCAACACATTTGTGTAAAGTTAATTGGTGACCCTTTCACATGAAAAATCATACAGTCACACCTAGGGGAGCCATCTTGTGTGTCTCCCAGTTATTGAGTCTACTCGTATGGTTCATCGCCCCTCTCAATGATGGTTTACAGTATAGTGAGCTTGTTGAGAGGATCCCTAACTGTTTTTGCACATAATAGTGGCAACTACCATGAGCTAAATTATTTGTATAGTTCCTCGTCTCCTCTAAAGGGTAGTTTATGACTCTCTACCCGCTTCTAGATACAGTCGTGAGTATTCAAGTTGATACCATTTCACACTGCTAGAGGTCTCGTTAGTTCTCTTAAATTTATTTGGGTATCATGGAGGTTCACTAGATTCTTAGGGGCATCTAAGCAATTTAAATCTCATCTTCGCAATTTCTAGGATTCTTAGAACTAGCTTATCGAGCTAATCCATCCTCTAGGTGTACTTAGGTTTGGACCTCTTACAATCCTAAATGCTTGGTCTACGGGTAAAGTATTGACCTAGATCAAAGTGAAAACAGGTCAAAGTGAAAACCACTTCAGTTCTCACACTCTAATCTCAACATGGTTTTCTCTTGCCTACTTTATTAGGGAGATATTCCTATGGATCATTTAAAGCACCGAAAACATAGCCTAACATTATGGCAACATCCTATCCTTCTTTCTTAAATAGTAGAAAAGATTAAAATAGGCATACAACTTAATTTCTTATCCTAGGAGCATTTCAGTATTTTTTTTTTCTTTGGTAACATACATGGCATCGTCATCCAACTTACTCTACTGAGGTCCTAATCATGCATATTCTAACCACTTAAAGCAAGATATGCTCGCATGTCTCTAGCGATTCCTATACGTATTACTTGAGAAAAGTCTGAATGTCTACTTACATGGATGACACATGTCTTCTCAAGCTAGATTTTCTGCAGGGGCTCCAAATTTTTTAAATTTATCTAGTAGGTCATAATTCAAGCCATAATAAGGTTAATATCAAAATAGAAGCAAAAATAGTCCAGCATGAGTCAAAATGGGTTGGGAGACATCTTTTACACACTTAGACGCGCACTAGAAGAGTAGCCCATGCAAAGGTACACGTGCGAGTACGGACATTATGTGTGTCCTCGACTCCACGATTGTTTTAGTGCCTTTGAGTCCCTGATCTCGAGTTCGATCCGCACACTATGTTTTCTTCAATAATTTCTCTT